CCCATCATGATATATGGTGGACCTGCGCACAGCAGGCCACGCGCCGCCACCCCCGCCGTCTCTTTCAAAAACCACTTGACAGTGATCGCGGGATTGCCGCGCATGGTCTAGATTTAACCGCGCGATGCATGTCGAATTTTATTGTTGTCAGGGATAGCAGCCCTGCGCACGGGAGGGAATCTGATGACCCCCCCGCCGTCCTTGTCAGAAACAATACAAAGTTCTCGCGGGACTCACGAACATGACTCAAGATTCAGCCCCAAACTGTACATGGCATTGGTTTTTACAAAGATGGTGAGGGGGCCATGTGTTTGGCCGCGCATGCTCCAAATGTTGAGGCAGCGTGCGGTTTGCATTGTTGTGTGGGCATGGTGTGGGCATGGTGCCTGGTTGGCCCCCGGTCGCCTCGGGGAGGGAGTGGTTTTCAATGAGGACCGGGATCAACCCATCCCCCGAGCAGGGGAAGGAGGGGTTGTGGAAAGCGAGAAGACACAACTCGCTAAATCATCTAAGCCCAGAGGGCTGGTGGGGTGGGCCACTCGCGCCCGTCAGCTGCTCGCGCATGCCGAAATCCTTCCAAAGCCTTGAGTACCAACGGGTGGGCACCATCATCGCCATCGGCGTGATCAGCATCAGCGCCGCTGGCGACGTCGCCATGATACCGCGCCCGCCGGAGTCACCGACTCGTACTCAAGGGCCCGCGTGTCAGCGCTATCTGTGAGACGCGCTCGTAAGTCCCCAGTCGTCGGCGCCACCCTGTCAGTCGGCCAGACTTACTCGCCGCTCTGCGCGAGCCTGCGCGCTAGCGCGGCCGCAGCGGTGCACCAGTCAACGCCAGGTAGGCATCATAAATGACGTCTCATGGGTTTTGCAAACCAAGTTGCGGGTGGGTGGGTGGGATGGACAGTGGGTTTGGCAGCTCACCGCGAATTCGAATGAGTGCCCTGCACAGGTCGCTCTACAAAAGCTGTACCGGTTTTAGATTACACACCACACGTATTTGTCCACATTCATTGCAACACGCCGATCACCCCGAAGAGATTGCACCACGCAGAGTGCACAACGTAGATTGTACACCAAGCGTTGGACTACGTATACAGCGCTGCGTAGACAACACCACGTAGACTGCTCCACATAAATAGCACCGCTGGAAAGCGTGACCTTCCCATACCGAAAATCAATGAACATCCTGGGGGTTCATGGTTGGGTTTCTGGCGGCAGGTTCCTTCTGATGGAGCTCCTGCTGTACAATCAAGGGGGGGGGGCATACCCCCATGCCCACTATAATAATGTACCCCCCCCTTAAGTCGTTAGAGTTTTTTATCGTCGACCAATAAGAGTTTGGTCGGGGGCGCGGGGGCGCGGAGGCCGAACTTCATCATCACTGGGAAAGTTCGCCATCGAGATTACTTCCTTCTCATGCGTCTCGTGCTCTTCCTCCTTCTCATCATTATCATCTTTCTTTTCTTCTTGATTTATCTCTCTCTTTCTATTTCTTTTTCTTCTTGTCTCCCCGCCCCCCTGAACTTGTTTATCGCTGGGCTTGATTATCCTGGGAAAACTAAGCACATGAGCTACCCTACACGAGCAGATGAAAATTTTAATTTCCTTTAAGCGTTTACAAAGTATATCTAATAAGTTTGAATTTTGGATTGTTGCTTCTTCCTCTTCCTCTGCTTCCTCTGCTCTTCCTCCTTCTCATTCTTCTTCTTCTTCGTTTCTTCTTTGTTTATCTCTCTCTCTCTTTCTATTTCTTTTTCTTCTTGTCTCCCTGCCCCCTGAACTTGTTTATCGCTGTGGTCGATTATACTGGGGGAACTAGGCAGAGCGAGCAGATGGAAACCTTAATTTCAATTAAGCGTTTGCAAGTTGAATCTAATAAGTTTTGAACTTTGGATTCTCGCTTCTTCCTTCTCCGCTCCTCTCTCCTCCTCCTGCTCCCCCTGCTCTTCTTCTTTCCCTTATATATATATATATATATAGATTTGCATGTTCTTTGGATTTCCTTCTCTCTCTGGCAGCTTGATATCTCTTTATGCTGGCTCTGGCGGGCAACTTTTATTATCCCCCCCCCCGAAAACCCCGAACTTTATTATCCCTTAGGGTTTATTATCGGGGGCATGGGGTTACTCGCCCAATGCAGGCGCGCCCGTGAGATTGTTCTTTCATCCACTGGTGCGTACAGTGCCGTTTTTCATACATGCTCCGCGTGCGGATCATGTATTAAAAATTGCAGGGATTTAGTCGTAAAAACAACGATTAGTTCATGCATACATTTATTCATACATTGATCATGTATAAGGCAATCCGATATTTTAAACAATCCTATGTGATCGGGGGAGGTAGGCGGGGGCGGCAGGGGGTGGTCGGCAGGTAGGCGGGTGTCTTGGGCCCTCTCCCAACATGTGCTCGTTCTCCCGCGCGAATTTGGGCCATCGCGGCGCTTCCGCGCCCCGACGTGCCCCACGTCACCCACGTTACCCGAGGCCTCATCCCCATCCCCCCAGGCAGCAGCCTAGATTGGAAACTCGAATCACTAACTCAAAACAGACGCCCAATCCCAAAAACGCGGGGGCCAAGACAAAACGCAGACACCTCGAGACTTCGGGGAGGGAGATGTGGGTAGGGTTTTACCCGGGTGACGACGACAAACGCAAAACATACCCCGAAATCTTTGGCCGATCTTCGAATCCTCGGCGAATCCGCGATTTTGGGGTTGGGGATGTGTTTCCCCGTGGTCATATCAGAAACATAGCCATCGAATTGTGCGCCGTTCAGCACCTTGCTTTGTTGAACCTTTCATTTGCTCCGGCAAGTGATTGTGCATCCCCCCTCTGGTAGTCTGCTTCAGAACACGCTGTTGACCCCCGAACTACCACAACAACAGCTCTTGCCTGATCCTTCCGCACCATGCTATCTATCATAAACGCTCGCGGTGACCTCACAATGTGTGGAGAAGTCGAGTTCTCGCGTGGGACTTCCTCGCCATTGAGTCAGACGCTGCGCCTTCGACGCTCGGGAAACATGCTCTCGCCGTGGATTCCTCACGATTTCCTTTGGGATCGCGCCATCGCCCGAGACGTCCCTGCGACTCGTGCAGGGCTGGCGCTTCAGCGACCCGCGCACTCGATCTGACCCTTCGGGGCCCGCCCGCTCGACCCCCGCCCGTTGGGGCCCGCCCTCCCGACCCCCCAGTCTGGTCCTGCCGCGCGTCTTCATGCCCTAACTCACCAGCCTCGAACTTATCCCTATCCCTAAGACTGGGATGCGCCCTCAAAAATTGAGGGAATCCCAAAGATTGGCATCGTGATGGGGCGATGCCCAGCATAGGGATAGGGATATGTTCCAGGCTGGTAACTATCCCCCCTCCTGCTGCACTCTCTCGTTCTCAATCCTTCTGCCTCCCCACTGTCCCCTCTCCTCGGGGTTGGACAGACCTCCTACCCTGACGCGTCGATTAGGGAATTGGCCGTTTTCGGTTCGCGGGAGGGCGTCGCGGCCGTCACTTTTGCGGGTCCAGGTCCGTCGGTGTCGGTCCCATGCCGTTTCCATTAAGGGAGGTCTACTAAAGGGAGGTTTGTCCACCGCCGATTCTCTCCCCCTCCCCACCCTATGTTCTATGGGCTGCGTCAACTGCACGTGGCAGGTAAGGAAGATGAGGCCCCGGGGGCGGTACGATCGAAGGCGAAGAGGGCGGGTTGTTTGTGGCGGTGTTGGTGGTCGTCTTCTTGCTGCACATGCGCGGTGAACTTCGTGTGAAGGTCGCGTGGGATTTCCACCGGGAGGGGACACGGGGGCGGGGGAGGAGGGGGCAGCGGCTCAGTGGGCCCTGGAAACGACAGGGCCGTTTTTTTACCGGTTCCATTTTGCCGTTTTTTTGCTGGTTCCGACGCCGTTTTTTTACCGGTTCCGTCGCCGTTTGTTGACCGGCTCCGGCTCCGGTTCCAACCTTGGAGCCGTTTTTGTTGCCGTTTCCAGTCGCCGTTTTTTGCCGTTTCCATTGTCAAGGGACCTTTTTTTGGAAACGGTGAAAATACGACCCTGCCGTTTCCGGGGCCCACTAAGGGCAGCGGAGGGGGGACTGGGGGGGTGAGGAGGAGGAGGAGGAGGAGGAGGAGGAGGAGGAGGAGGAGGAGGAGGAGGAGGAGGAGGAGGAGGAGGAGATGGAGGAGGAGGAGGAGGAGGAGGGAGGAGGAGGAGGAGAGGAGGAGGAGGAGGAGGAGGAGGAGGAGGAGGAGGGGGGTGAGAGGGGGTGGGCATGGGGCGGGGAGGGATGGGGGCAGGGCGGGGACCATCGCCCTCGCTCCCCGCAGCCACTGGCTCCGAGGCGCCCGCCCACCTGGACGGCGCGGCGCCATCCATCTCAGGGGGCCCCTGGGCAGCACGGAGGGGATCTCCCGCCCCTCTCCCTGCCCCCCCCCTTCCCCCCCACTCCCTTCCCTTCCGCTCTCCCCTCCTCCTCCCCCCCCTCGTCGTCCCGTTATCCCCCCCGGGCCCCTCCTCCCATCCCTTCTCCGAGCGATGTTCCCCCCCCTCGCCCTGCTCTCCCCTCGCCCTCCCCATCGCTCCACTCCCCCCTCCTTCGTGCCTCCCTCCGTGCCTCCATCTCCCCGCTTCCGCTCCCCCCCACACCCTGCGCTCCCAGTCCTCGTTCCGCCCTGCCCCCCCCCTCGCCCTCACCCTCAGGCCGGCCTCCCCTCCACTTACTTTCTTCCTTTCTTCCCCTCCCGACCTCCCTCCCTCCTGCCGCTCTCCACTTCCCTTCCTCCCTCCATTTCTCTTCTTGCCCATCTTCCCCCCCCTCCCCTCCCTCTCCTGTCCACTGCTTCCTCTGCTCTGACTGACGCCCCCACCTCCCCCCTTCCCCTTCCCATCCGCCCCTTCTCCCGCCTCGGCCTCCTCCTCCGCCCGCTCCTCTTCCCCCCCCTCGCCCCCTCCCTTCCTCAGGCCCCCCCCCCCCCTCTGCAGGGCGCAGGGGGCTGCCCCCGCGCCGCGAAGAGGCCCCCCGCCCGTGTACCGTACCGGCCCCGGCGTCGGGCCCATGGCGCCCATGGGCCTCGGCGCCGCTCTCGCCGTGGCGCTGCCGCAGGCGCTGCTGGGGCTGAGCCACGGCTCCGTCGCGCAGACGGGCATCGTGGAGCACCGCAGCTTCTCCTGACCTCTCCCTGCCCCCCCTCTCTCCTCCGCCCCCCTCCCCCTTATTCCCCCTTCTTCTCCTCCTCCTCCTCTCCTCCTCCTCCTCCTCCTCCTCCTCCTCCTCCTCCTCCTCCTCCTCCTTCTCCTCTTTCTCCTCCTCCTCCTCCTCCTCCTCCTCCTCCTCCTTCTTTCTCCTTCTCCTCGTCCTCCTTCTCCTCCTCCTCCTACTCCTCCTCCTTCTCCTCCTCCTCTTTCTCCCAGCAGAAAGAAAGGTAGAGCACAGAGGCGGGCCAGCAAGCAGCAGCAGGGGCCGAGACAGTCCCGACCTGGAGCCGCACATAACCCACTCGGGCAGAGAGAAGGGAGGAAGAAGGAGACAGCAGGAAGGAGCCGGGAGGAGGCGGAGGAGACCTGCGCGCGGCGGGGAGGCGTGTGACGGTGTGTGCCACCAGACCCCCCCCCCTTAGGCGCAGGCCCGCGCCCGCGCCCGCCGGAGGCATGCAGCGGGAAAGGAGAAGGGGGGGGGGAGGAGATGGGGAAAAGTGAGTCAGGTGCAGGGGTTGACGGGAAGAAGCAGGCGGCCGACGGAGAAAGAAGGGGAGGAGGCGAAGCGCTGCTCGCCCGCAGAAGCAATTGGTCGGCCTGGCGAGGGGCCAGGGGGTGGGGGCGGTCGGGCCGGCGGTGGTAACGGCAGTGGTGGTGGTCATGGCGCCGTCGTGCTGGCCGTGGTCGCGGTCGTGGTGTTGGTCGGATGAGCTTGGCGGCACCGGTGGTGGTCGAGCTGGCAGCTGCCGCAGCAGGTCCTCGCGCTCCTCGTTTTGGCTCGTCTCCTCCTCCTCCTCCTCCTCCTCCTCCTCCTCCCGCTGCTCCTCTTCCTCGCCCCTCCCCCACGGGCCTTGCCCCCTCCCCCCGAGGAGAAGCCAGACCTGTTTGCTCCTCTGACGAGGGCCTCCAGCTTCGAGGGCTTCCAGCGGCACACGGCCCAGGTGACCAGCGACTGCCCCGAGCCCTGTGCGGCGCAGGCGCCCGGGGCAGCGCCTGCTGGCGCGACTGTCGGCACCGACCCATTTCGCCCTACCCAGCCCCACCCCCCTCCGCCACCCTACACCCTCTCCTGTCGGACGACGAGATTTGCTAGTTGTTTGATGATTTCTGTTGTTTCTGAATGTGTGTACGTTTGTAAGTTTGTTGTCGTACTACTACAGTGCACACGTACGTATATACATCGAAAATTGATGCGAGACAATTTCGGGTGCGGCCGAGGATGTTGGTTCGCGAGCCCCCAAGACGGCTCTGGGGGCCCCCCGGAGGCCTCAGGAAGGTCCGACTAGCGCCCCAAAACGGCCACGACGGGCCCAAGATGGCTCAATGAAGAGTTTCTTTGTGGGATGTGTATGTAGATGTAGATGCATTTGTTATTTGTTATACGCATCTGTGTGTGAATCTATGTATATGTGAGGAGACTTCTCGTTTGTTGCCGTTCGATCGGTGTTGTCTTTGAGTGTTCCTGGGTCGCCCAGATGGTGCCGGGGGGGGCATGTGTTGCTGCATGACGTATGGACGAGTGCCGCCCGATGGGCCCGCACGTCGAGGCACTGGCAGCGTGCTGGGGTGGTTCGGTCTCTCTCTCGCGTGAGACTCGGGAGGGGAAAAAACACACAGACACAACTCATCGTCGATCCCCCAGAAAACATGGGAAAACATGGGAAGTGGGGGGGGGAGGCCACAAACCCAGAACATGTGGGAAAAAAACATGGGGAATCCTGTTCTTTTGTGTGTATTGATCTGTGTGTCCCAGGGCCCCTTCAGAGACATCGTTGCAAGTCTGCGTTCCGAGCCGACCAGGTTTGGCATGCTCTGGCCCGTTTCACCCGAAACATCCTCGCGCTTCCCGTGCCCCAGGACGCTGCGCGAGAGGTGGTCCGATGCGGGGGTCGTCTGAGACATCCTCAGAACTGTTGGATTCGGATATGCCATGACCGGAGGTTGCCTCGTCCGTTTCGCTTGAGACATCGTCGCTACACTAGGCTTGAAGATGCATCTCGCGAGCTGATCCGGTCAGTTTGGCCTGAGGCGTGTCCGTAATTCTTGGCAGAGATGCAGCTTGCGAGGGGGCCCAGCAAGTTTCGCATGATACGTCCCCGCAATTCCGAGCAACCGGTGAGGAGTGCGAAGCGAAGGAGGAGGAGGAGAAGGAGTAGCATAATGACTTATGAAGAGGGGGAGGACGGATACTGCTCGTATTGTTGTCAGTCAAGCACTCTTGTGTTCAATGCTCTCGGGACACTTCTCGTCGCCAAGGCTGGACGCGGCTCGATCGTGCCTGGTGATGCGGGCTGGTGCTCTGCCGACGAAGGGTGTGTCACGGGCCTGTTCGCGCCCAGATTGTGGGGACGTCTCGACGGGTCCGTTTGTTTTACGAGGCGGAGGTGTGTGTTCGGAGCTGTACGGTCTTGGCTCGCCACTGCGGTTGGCTCTTGGGGCTGTTCTGAGCCCCATCCAGGGCCTCCTCCTCTTCCTCCTCTTCCTCCTCCTCCCCGTATCGTTTGAGACATTCTCGGAAACCCCGGGCTCCGAGATGCTTGAACCTGAGGTTATGTGGCCCGCATAGATTCAGACATTCTCGCAACTCGCACCTCTGGGTTCCACGATGCGGCTCGCGAGGTGCTCTGGTCCGTTTCGCCAGAGAGACCCTTGGGCTCCAAGACGTGGTCCGCAATGTGCTCTGGCTCGTTTCGCCTGAGACGTCCTCGGAATCCCTGGATCCGAGATGCCCTGACTTGAGGTGACCTGGGTATACGTGTGCCACGCTTGAAGGCGACATTGACGGAGTTCTGTCTTGGGTTGCCCCTGGTACCGGGGAAAGTTGGGGACCAATGGAAAGTGATAGAGAAACCGAGACGTCGCTACATACATACAAATACGTGTGTATTTGTGTATGTGGATGTATGTGTAGATGCAGATGCATATATTCAGTACAGCATCCACATACATATGTATACGTGCCTATATATATATGTATAGGTGTAGTTATGCCTCTCTCTCTCTCTCTCTCTCTCTCTCTCTCTCTTTAAGTGTAGAGAGGTGGTGTGCGCGGGGGGGGGGGCCAGATGTCAGAGCAGCGGGGCCTAGGGCCCCAGGCGGGGACGTCCTCCTGGATTCCCCCCCCCCCCGTCCCGCCTGTTCGGCCCCCCCTCCCTCGAAGACCGCCCTGGCCTACCCCCAGCCGCCCAGGCCTCCCAAAGGGGGGGGGATAGGGAAAGGGGGGGGGGTACGAAATCTGCTGCATGCAGCTGGTTTCGGCCCCGCCGCCGGGCCCACTCCTCGAGACATGGGCGCCTCCTGGCGCCGGGAGATGCCGGGAAAATTAGCTACGTGAGCTGATTCTCAAACCCCCCCTTTGTTATCCCCCCCTTTCGCCCAGCCCGACAAAAGATCCTCTGGGGAGCACGGGTGAGCGATGAGAGCGGCGCAAGGGGGCCCAAGACGTCCCGAGATGGCCTCCAGACGGCCCTCGAGGCCCCCAAGATACCCTAAGCAGACTCCACGCTGCTCCCCAAGAGCGCCCCCAGGTGGCAAAACATGCCGCACCCCTTCAGACCAACGTAGATGTTCAGCACACTGACTTTGGGAATCTTCATGGCGTGAGAGACTGCCCAACAAGGCCGCCAAGATCGCGCCCAAACTGCCCAATCTCGTACGGATCCCTCCTCGCTCGTGCGCCCTGGCTTGTGCAAGCTCCTCAGCACCGCCTGCACCCCGGCCCGCCCTCCGGCCGCCTGAGGCCCCGCCCGCCCGTGCTCCGTCTCCCCAATTAGTGCTTTGCGCGGCCCGCCTAGCTCTTAACCGGAAGAGGCTCGCTCTCGACCCGCAGACCAACAAAAATATATGTGCGCCCTGGCTTTTCACAGTTCCGTGCCCTCCCGTTCGGAGCGTCGAGGATCGCTTTTTGTGGTGTTGTTCCTTGCCGGGAGCACCGAGTGAGCTCCCTGTGCAGCCACAGGGGATCGTTCCGCCTCGCCCCTTTCCCCATCCTCCTCCTCCCCGACTGCACGGGCGGGGCTTTGAGCCTGGTTGGTTCGATGCTGAGCTTGACTGGCCTCTCTCAGTTCCGTGCCCTCTTCCCTCCTTGCGCCTCTTTTTGGGTCCGCATTCAATTGGGCATCTGCTACAGTCGGAGGTTGATAGACCTCCTACCCTGACGCGTCGATTAAGGAATTGGCAGTTGTTTTTCGCGAGAGGGCGTCGCGGCCGTCATTTTTGCGGGTCCAGGTCCGTCGGTTTCGGCCCCAGGCCGTTTTCGCTAAGGGGAGGTTTACCAAAGGAAGGTTTGTCCACCGTCAAAATAGGGCATATGCTACAGCCGTGGATCCCCACATTCTGCCATCAACTCGAGCTGCTGTGGCTGGTGGCCACTGGTTTGCACAAGTTGATGGTCAAGGCCAGCAATGTTGCCGACGAGCCACCGGCCTGCATGCGAGCGCGTGTGGCGTTCTGCAGTGGGCTTTCTGACGTAGGGTTCCAGCAGGTCCTCCCGGCAGGTGGTAGCTGGTGACATTTGTCCCGTTCAAGAGCTTACCCTTCTCCTCCTCCTCCTCCTCCTCCACCTTCTCCTCCTCCTTCGTTCCTCTCCCTCGTCATCATCGTCCTCGTCCCTCTCCCTCGTCCCTCTCCCTCTCCTCTCCCTCGTCCCTCTCCCTCGTCCCTCTCCCTCCTCCCTCGTCCCTCCTCCCTCGTCCCTCTCCCTCGTCCCTCGTTCCTCTCCCTCGTTCCATGACCCCGTCATCGTCGTCCTCCTCCCTCGTTCCTCCTCCGCCGCCCGCCTTCCTCCGGGAGGCCGCTGCCGGCGCCGCCGGCAGGTACAGGTTCCGCGAGGAGCGCGCCGGCAGGGTGGACGTCGCCCAGTGCGCCGCCGATTTCCCGGATTTTTTGGCGCCATGGGAGGAGGGGATGATTCTCGGGGGCGGAAAATGAAGGGGGTGATGACTAGGGGGGGGTGGATATCATGGCGGGGGCCATGATATTTCCCCAGATCTCATGGCGCCTCTTCTTAATTCATTACGTCCCTGGCCCCCTCGCTGGGCCGCGCACATGCCGCCGGTCATGATTTGCACCCCCCCCTCTTGGACACCCCCCTCTTGGCCGCTCCCGAGATTCAGGTACCCCCACACGGTGCGGTGACCATACCGTGTGGTGAGACAGGGGGGATATGGGGTGACCGCAGGGTTTTGGGATTTGGGTCGTTCTGAGGATGTCTCGGGCGACTTCCGACTCGAGGGTACCGAAACCATGCGGTGACGGACCGTGCGGTGAAGTCGTTAGGGATTCCGAGGTCACCGCACGGTGTGTCACCGCATTGCTTTGGGACACCCAAGTGATCTTCGGTAACAAATCATGGGAGCCTTGAGTACCCTCGCAACTCTGTCTTTCGAGTGCACTAGCGTCGAGTAGCGTCTGGTAAGCGATGAGATAGTGCCGATTTAGCGTCGGTCAGCGTCGATGAGCGTCGATTTGGCATCGGCTAGCGCCGATTTCTAGCGTCGACTTCTAGCGTCGATCAGCGTCGATGAGCGTCCAGTCGCAAGAGCCAACGAGGTGGTATGGCAGGCTCCCATGCGTTCTGCCGCAGGAGATGATCCATGGCAGCGCCAGGGAGGGAGAAGCCCAGGGGGGACGGCAGCGTCAATGTTCGAGGTTTCTGGGCGTTTTTTGGTTCGGTTCTCTGGCGTCGCTCGGACGTTTGCATTTTTTGTTTCTCGGCGACGGCCATCGAGGACCATCCTGGACCATTCGGCGAAACAAAAACACGCACGACATCGAAGCATACACGAGGAGTGAACGTCCGAGCGATGGCGAGGGTTCTTTGGAGTGCTCCAGCCCCGGGACGCTCTGCAGCAGCTGCGCCTCACCGAGGTCGTTCCCGGGGTGCCAGATCGCCCAAAGAAGCCGCAGGAGGCCAGAGTTTTGATGCGAATAGCAGACGACTCAGGGGCGACGTGAACGGGGGGATCGGCTTGGGAGGGGGAAGGCATCGACCCTCCATCGCCCATTCATCCACGATAGGGCCCCAGTAGCCTGAGCGTGTGGATTCGTTGTCTGGAGCATATCGCCGATCAATGGGAGATGTATCGCCGATTCAAGGTCGATGTTTCCCTCCCTGAGCCTATTTCCCATATCGTTGACCCTGAGGTAGGTCGCAGGCAAGTTCTCACTCCTTGGCGGCAGAGGACCCTGAGCAGCTCTGACGAGTGCTAAACAGAGTGCTGCAAAGAGGTCTGTATAAAGCGCACCGAGAAATCTTACAACGTATGCGTCTTGGCGGGCGCTCTTTGGCCACACCGGATCTACTACAGGGAGGGTATGCTATATGTTCGGGTCGGACGCGCGCCTCCGAGGAGGACGTGCAGTATTAGTATCTCCCTGTGCGTCCCACATGGGAGACCACACGAGAGACCATACGGAAGACCACGCGACGGGAGACCACGTGCCACGGGCCACCGACTGCGGATCCGGCGGACCTCACACGGGGCCTGGCTTTCGAAGCAATTGTTGTCGCTTCGCGAATCCCCACCAGCCCATCCAGAAACGATGGCCAGAGGAATTGCCTCGATCAGAGAAGTGGGCAGCACACAGAGGAAGCCATTATGAGACATCTTGGGATATCTTGAGCCATCTTGGAGGTCATTTTGGGCTCTCCCAGACGCTCTTGGAGTCATCTTAATCCGTGCCCCCCCCCAAGAGGCCTCCATGTGGCTAAAACCTGTGTAGAATCAATGATTAGGCATTCTCGCCGAGGCCTCTTGGAGCATCTTGGGTGCATCTGGGGGGGCTCTTGGGGCCTCTTGGGGGTCTCTTGGGGGCCTCCGGGGGGCCTCTTGGGGGCCTCTTGGGGCCATTTTGGGGCCATCTTGGGACCTCTTGGGGCTTCCTGGGCGCTTCTTGGGGCCATCTTGGAGGAGATCGATCAAACAAGAGGGGGGGTTTAATTAGCGCCCCCCCTCGGAAGCCCCTAAAATCGCCTCTTGGACCCCTCTTGGAACGCTCTTGGAGTGCTCTTGGGCGCTCTTGGGGCCGTCTTGGGGCTCTTTTGGGGCTCTCTTGGGGCCCTCTTGGGCCATCTTGGAGCCATCTCCAGGCCTCGGATGGCCATCGGAAGCGAAAAGGCGAGAAAGCAAAAATCATTGATTTTCCTTAGGTTTTGGGACGATTTTGGCCTCTTCGGGGCCTCCTTGGGGAGCTGTTTGGCCACTTGGAGTTATCTTGGGGCCGTCTTTGGGCTTCTTGGAACCATCTTAGGAGCCATCTCGAGCGATCTTGCGCTATCTTGAGCCATCTTGGAGCTCATCTTGGGTTCTCTGAGGCGCTCTTGGAGCCGTCTTGGGCCATCTGGGACGCTCTAACTACCAGCGGCCCCCCCCGTCCAGGTCCAGGGGAGGGGGTAGGGGGAGGGGTAAACCCCTCCCCAAGGGGGAAGAGGGAGGGGTGGAAGAGGATCTGCTCTAGACCACCTACGCCCAGAGGGCTGGTGGGATTCTCGGGGGCGGGAAAGAGGGGGGTGATGACTAGGGGGGGGATGGATATCACGGCGGGGGTCATGATATTTCCGCAGATTTCATGGCGCCTCTTCTTATTTTATTACGTCCCTGGCCCCCCCGCTGGGTGGCGCACATGCCGCCGGTCATGATTTGCACCCCCCCTCTTGGACACCCCCCTCTTGGCCGCTCCCGAAATTTGTAGGAATTTTGCAGACAAGGTTTTTTGGGGAGTCGGGCCCCTCAGAAAAAGGAACAACTCAGGTATACAAGAACAGGGGGGTATCGGACGCACTTGTGTCGAGGACGATGCCCCAACTCCTATATCTCCGAGGCTGGCCCCACATTTTTTTGTGAGTCGACGCCCCCGCAGAGCCAGGGTGTGCGGTCGCCAGACTCCCTGTCAGGGCAGGAGCCAGGCGGGATGCAGGAGGAACACGAGCTGGCCAGTTCCTCCGCAAGCTTGCGATGTACACTCTGCGTGCTCCGTGGTAGTCAGCGGCAGCACCGGGTGGGCCGCTCGCATCCCTCGTGCGGAGCCTCTTCTGCGCTCGGCTCCTCGTGTGCGCACACGGCCTTAGCATCGCTCGGACGTGTGCATTTTTCTTTGGGCGAGGACCATCGAGGAGCATCCTTGATCATTTGGCGAAAAAACCACGCACGAAGCCGAACAAAAACACAAGGAATGGACTTCCGAGCGATGGCCAGCGGCCATGAGCCCTAAATCTCTCGCATGCGCTCGGTGGACGCGGACTTTTTTTTTTTTTTTTATTATTATTATTATTATTTTTGTAAGTTGGCACTCGGAACAGCCGCGGAATGTCAGCACGTGGTTGATGAAATCAGGCGGGCCGTGCGATGAAGACACGTCTCCCTGCTCGGGCGAACCGCGGGGGTGGCGCCCGCCACATGGAAGCACAGCGTGGCGGCGCCGGTGACTGGCGCCGACGCCGGGCGGCCAGCGAGAGGGCGGCAGGGGCAGCACAGACCAGGGTGGGGGGGGGGGGGCGGGCTGGCCGGGGCGGCAAAGGCAGGGACCGTCGGCGCCGCCAACGCCGCGTTATGCTACTATGTCGCAGGCGGCGCTCGGAGCTCCCGTCCTCCCCTTGCGTTCCTTGTCCTTTCGAGGGGCAAGGTTTTCAGGGCGGGCCGCCTGGCGTTTCGCCCATATCAAACCTTGCAGCAGTTTCACAGGTGGAGGGCGGGTGGTTTTCAGATTGTGACTCTCGCCTTCGCCCCGCTCACAGTCGTTTTAGACACAGAGCTCCGCGGATTGAGGGCGGCCCGTTGTCAAAATGTGGCTCTCGCCGTGGCGCCGCGCACATTCGTTTTTAAAGTTTGCAGGAACTTCGCGGCTTGAGGACAACCCTTTTTCAAGTTGTGGTTCTCGCTTTAGCGCCGCGCACACTCGTCTGAAGAATTCGTAAGAGTTTCACGTATTCGCCTGATCGTGCCAGAATTCGTGTTTAGGAAGGATTCATGATTCTGCTGGCGCAATAATTTCGTTGATTCGCGGTGTCCAAATCCCAAGACTGGCTTCTGGCGCCATCCAGGACCGTCAAGACGCAACAGTCAGGTTGATCCGTGGCGGTGGAATCTCGAGAACAATATTTTGGCATGCTTCAGGGTCTTCAATCGGTTGTCTTCCAACGAGGCAGTTCCATCAATGGAAGTGAACCGTTGTAGGGGCCTATGAAGGGGGATCTTGGAGGGAGGGTGTACATCAACATCGTTGATGGCTCTCGGGTTTACACTGGTCCTCCTCCTCCTCCTCCTCCTCCTCCTCCTCGTCCTCCTCGTCGTCGTCCCCCTCTCCTCCACCTCCGCGTCCTCGTCCTCCTCCTCGTTGTTGCCCTCCTCCTGCTCTTCCTCTTCCTACTTCTCCTCTTCCTCCTCCTCCTTCTCGTCGTTCATGCCGTTTGCCATCATCCGCGGCGCGGTGGTTCCCCGAGCTCTCCGAGCCCTGGCGTGCGTGGTAAAAAAACATTGATTTGCGCCCCGCGGGGTCTATTTATCAGCCCAGGCGGGGGGGCACCATTTGTTAACCACTAGCTGACATCAATTGCTCACGCGCAGTATCTGTGTACTGTGTCCTCTAATGTTTCCGTGCAGGGTACACTGTGAATGGTTCAAGCTGGCGCTCAAGTGGGTAACCATCCTCGCGCACACAGGTGGGCCTCGCATGTGTAACTGACGGCGAAGTGGCCAGCGCGTGACTCTGCGAAAGGGTTGGCAGGGGCATCGATGTGTGTGTACCATCGCTGGGGATCCGAGGGTTCCACTCTTCGGTGGTTGTGAACCTGGTTGTGCATTCCTGTCCTCCCCTCAGGTGTATCTGGAGCGGGCCTGGGGGGACAGGAAGGCGTCCGCCGAGGACCTGCACAGGGAGCCGGAGACGAAGTTCGGCGGCGGCCGCATGGGGGTGGCCCGGGGTGGCCTCACCTAACCAGCCTGGAACATATCCCTATCCCTTTGCTGGGCATCTCCTCATCACGATGCCAATCTTAGGGATTCCCCTGGTTTTCCAAGGCTAATCCCTAAGATTGTCATCGCCTTTTGGCGTGTCAATCTTAGGGATAGGGATGAGTTCGAGGCTGGTGATCACCTGGGGACCTCTGGGGCCCGAGGGCTGGGAGCCAGAGGGTTGGCAGGGAAGAGCAGCGGAAGGACTGGGTGGAGGAGCAGCTTCCAGCTGGACTTCTGTCGGGCCTGGCCCTCCACGGGGGGAATCTTCAAAAGTAATCCAAGCATAGTCTGGGCACAATCTTTTTTGTATTTTTGGGAATGGGTATTTGTTCTGAACATTTTTTCATGCTTCGCCCAGAATCCCCCAGAAGGGGGACAGGCCCGACTTGAAGCTGGATGTTCGCACCACGGGTCCGAGATGCCATTATGCACCATCTCCTCGACCACGAAGCCACCACGGCCATGGGAGTCCCGATGCCATCGAATTGCGAAATGCCGGCCCAGCGTTTTGATCCCGGTTGCGTGGCACAAGCACCAGGCAAGTCTGATCGCTGTCGCAGTCATCCGTTTCCAGGCATCATTGTACAGTGCAGTTTTTTATACATGCTCCTCGTGCGGATCATGTATAAAAAATGCAGGGATCTAGTATTAAAAACAACGATGAGTTCGTGCATACATTTATTCATACATGAATTACGTATTAAACATCCCATATTAAAAACAAAACAATCCTAGGTATTAAAAGCTGCCCTGTAAGTGGCTTCTGTGGACCCCCACGAAGTATGGCCCTACTTGTACGTCGTACCCAGCAGTTCCCAAGGACGTTTTGCGCGCGAACCGTATCTGGGATGTCTTGGCTGACCATCTTGGAGCCCTCTTGGGGAGCCCTCTCGGTGTATTGGAGCCCTCTCATGGCCGTCCTGGGGTCTTTTGGATCCTTTCTGCAGCGATCCTGGGTCTTGGAGCCCATCTTCCCAGGTCCCCCTTGGTGAGGTCCGTCGGGGCATTCGGGGGGGCTTCGGCGGGCCTCTGAATAACATCTTGTGGACGCGCTGTGGCATATCGTCCGCGAGCGTCTTGGGGCGATCGTGGGCCGTAGTGAGGCCGCGACGGGTGCCAGACAAGGACACGTACGGAGCGAGAACCACAGACCTTACCAAACAGCGAACACGCATCCTAACGCGCCGCAACTTGCCGTTGGCAGGGTTGCGGATCCAACTTTCAACTTAACTGGTATGTCAATCCAGCGTTCATTGTTCCAGCGCGTAGAGAACATTTTTACATGCCGTTCTTTCTCGAGTTCCCGAACCGTAGTCCAACACAGCGCGATACATTTTGAACCGCATGGAAGTGCGATCCGCCTTGTCAGCACGTGTCTAAGTCCAATGAGATCCAGGGTTTCTTCGGCCCAGTTGTGTTCAGAGAGGGCATTTCCATGGGCAAAGGTTCACCAGTTAACAGGTGCCTTCTGCGCCAGATCATTTTCCTGAGCTCTGGTAGTTCTCCTTGTCAGCATCATTTCAAGTGCCTTACGGCCAGTTCCGCTGATCTTGGGAAGGCAACAGTTTCGGCACGCACTTTTGGAAGCGGGACGAATGCAAGGGGGCGTGGCGGCTCTCATGCGAGGGCGGAGGTCCAGTACCTTTCTGCACATCCTGCCAGTGCGTTCGGGTCGGGTTCCAGAGGCATTCGAGACATGTTTGGGACTTCTTCGGGGGCAGGTCGTTTGCCGGACAGATGTTTAAGACCGCCAAAGTTGGCCGAGACTGGCTCCGAGAGGACTCTGACTCTAGCATGCTCGGTGGCCTCCCAAATATGGCCACATTGGCTCCAGTCTAGCCCGAATCAACCAAGACAGGGGTTGAATGGGGGTGGGCGGATTGGCTGGCAGCTTGGGCACCAGTCCTGGTACCCTCCCTGGATTCCCCCCAAAAAACATTGGCGAGGAAGGGATCACACGAAAGGGCCTTCCCTTCGACTCGAACACAACCTGAGCCAATCCTCAGCTTTGACCAGGAGCAGTGAGTCATACACCCAGTGTTTGTTTTCATTTTTTGTTGATGGAATCTGTCCACCGTCTCTCGGAACCGACCTCTTCAATGGCCCGACACGCTGGCCTCGCGTTCGCAATGCCGTGGTTTCTAGCTGCGAAAAAGGTATCGCAAAAATTGGGCGCCCCCCAGGATTAGCAATGGTTGCCGATGCTTGTAAGCTCTTTGCGGTGCTTCGCGTGGCTTGGCATTGTTTGGCGCTGCTTGGCATTCCTCAAGAGCGGGCTCGGGGACCCCCGCTGAATTCGAGCACCCCGGAACATGTTGGGAAAACTTCCAGGGTGAGGGAGAAGGAGGAGATTGAGGAGTCGGTCCACCACATGGCGAAACATATGTGATTTGACCGAGAGGGGCGGAGGGGAGGATGAGGGGGAGGGGGGAGGAAGCGGAGGACGATGCCGTGGGACTCGTACCGAGACGTCACCCAGCGTCCCGGAGGGAGCGAGGGAGGAGGAGGGAGGAATATGGCGCACAACGGATGCCGATCATATGCCTGAAATTTCCACGGCGGAGGCGGGAGGGAGGAGGAGGAGCAGCAGGAGGACGCGTAAGAGGGGTGAGGATGTCCAGGCCTGATAATACGACCACCCACCCACCCCTGAAGTTTCGTTCAGTGCGTCGCCCGTGCGTCGCTCGTCCGCCGGCCCTGGTTTGCGCCTCTATGCCAAATCCCGGCCGCCCAGAGTGCGTAGGCGACACATGGCGCGACTTCGGAATTTCGCTGGCGACATATAGTTTCCCGGCGCCAGTGCACCAGCAGCCAGTTTGGCGGTCGTGGCGCACTCTAGTTCGACGGTTCACCAACGCGTTCTGTTTCCAATTCGGCGCAAGAGAAGCCGCTGGTGCGTATTTTCGGGGGGCGCCAACCGTACCTGAGGACGAAGACGCCTCGCGTTGATTGGGGGATGTGCGCGTCGCGCCACGGTGGTGTGACGCCACGTGGCGCGACGCGGCGCCACTTCGCCCCGCCGCATCGCGTCCCGCACCCCCATGCCGTTTCGCGCCAGTCCTTCTGCTCCTCCCCCTCTTCCTTTTTCCTCCCTTCGTCGAACGCGCTGCGCGTTTTGTTTCGTTTGCAACCATCATATTCATTTGTTCATATGCAGGGAAACGATTAAAACAAATCGCCCCTCCCCCCCCCCGGATCCCCCAAAATGATTGAGTGGGGCGGACTAATACAATTCAGCAGCCGGAAACTGTTGTTTGAATCGTCCGCCCCTTGGCGTTTGCTTTTGCCCTTTTGGGGGAACTGATTTTCCATTCGTCCTCCTTCGCTCGCTTGATCACCCGCGGCCGCGGGGGGAGGATTGCGGAAAGGGGGGCGGGGTAATTAGGGAGTAGTTGAGGGAAGGGGTTTTCGAAGAGGCGCTTGATCACCCTTGTCCTTGCGGACGGCCGCCGGTCGTCCTTGCGGACGGCCGCGGCGATCGGGAGGTGGAGGATGAGGAGGAGGAGGAGGAGGAAGAGGAGGAGGGGGGAGGACAAGCTAGGTGCGCTCCCGTCATATATGACAGCCGACCCCGCCTTCCCATCCCTTACCATGGCGTAGAGCCCCTGTCTACTCGCACAGTCGGAAGTCGAGCAGGGCAATGATCCCACAAAGGGTACGCGATGCATTGTAGAGCACGGCGTGGCATGGCGTTGAAGAGCACCGCGAAGCGTAGTATGTCACAGCATGGCGTGGCGTGGCGTGGTGAAAAATTACATCACACATCTTTGCAACGCAAAGCATGACATCGCACATCGGCCCCGAACAGAACAGCGCAGAGCATGGCGTTGAATATCAAAGCGTAGCATGGCAGAGCACGACGTGGCACGTAAACACTCCTCCCCCCCCCGCCCTCGTCCTTGCGGACGGGGGGGGGGAGAGGAGGACGAACAGGAGGGGAACGAGGAGGAGGAAGCGGAGAAAAAAGAGGAGGAGGAGGAGGAGGACGAGGAGGAGGAGGAGGAGGACGAGGAGGAAAACAACGAGGAGGAGGAGGAGGAGGAGAGGGGAGGAGGGAGGAGGAAAAGGAGGAAAAGGAGGAGGAGGACGGGAGGAGGAGGAGGAGAAGAAGACGAGGAGGGGGAGGAGGAGGCGGAGGAGGAGGGGGAGGACGAGCTCGCCCTGCAAAAATCACCCCGTCCACCCCCCTGGCCTCCGCGCCCTGGATCGCCACCCCGTGCCCCCCCCCCCCGTGGCCTTCCAGGCAACCCGGAATTGTCAGCCGTCCGTTTGCCTGCCCTGCCCCCCCGCTATTGCGGGGGCGAGGAGGCCCGCGAAACAATGTTTTTAATCGTCCGGCCCAGAACGTTTTTTTTTTTTTTTTTTTTTTTTTTTTTTTTTTTTATTTTTTTTTATATATATATATATATATATATATATATATATATATATATAAACATACAATAAATCGTTGCCCTTCATTATGCCAGGCTGCCGTCCTGTCCCCTCCCTACTCACCCCCGGTTGCCCTTCCACCTTCCTGGCATTTACCTCTCGCCCTCCTCGCTCCCGCCGCCCCCCTTCGATTGCCTCCCAGTGTTCCCGCCGCCGCCGTGCCGTCCCCGCGCGCCCCCCCCTCGCCCGTCCGTTCTCTTTTCCGCCCGTCCTTCCCTCGCCTCTCTCCCCTCCTCTGTCGCCCCCCAATGCATCGGCATCCGAGACGTCGCCAAGTTGCTGCAGTGACGAACCGATGTTCAAATTCTGACGGGGCGTGCGCTTTAAATGGATTGCCCCGTGCGCGCTGCATCTCCATGTCGTCTACTGTTCGCGTTCGTAGTTTTCACGCGCGTGTCTCGCTAGTTTTGTGATTGTCGCGCGCTTTCCTTGATTGTTTCGCTAGCGGGCCGCGCAGTTCGCACGCCGTCGAAAGTCCACGGCGCCCTTCGAGCGATTCGCGCGCGACTTGCGCGCAACGCACGGAAGACCCGAGCGACGCGCGCGCGCGACGAACGCGCGACGCGCGCGCGACACGCGTGCGACGCACCGCGACCCGCGCGCGACGCACCCATGCCAGCGCGCGACGCACGAGCGACCCGCGCGACGCTTGCGCGACGCACGTGCGACGCACGCGCCACGCGCGAAGCAAGCGCGACGCACGCGCGACGCAGTCGCGCCCTTGCCCGCCCTTTGCATTCCTCCGAAAATCAATGCGCGACGGCCGTCGGCCCGCCGTGCTTGCGCTGTTCACAAGTGGCTGCGGCTACGTCCCCCGTTGCGCCAGGAAGGGCGGTGTTTCGCCCCTGTTCCTTCTTCTTTCCTTCCTCATCGTTCCTCCTCCTTCGTCATTTCCCCTCCGTCGTCCTCCCCCCTGCCTCGTCATCCTCCCCTTTTCCGTCTTTTCCCGGCCTCCCTCTGCTTGTCCCTCCTCCCTCCTCTTTAGTTTTTTTGTTATTCTCTTCTTCCCTTGCCACCCCGTGTCCTTCTGAAGTTTCTGTTATTTCGCCTTCGGCGCCCCATTTCACCTGGCTCCGCCAGGAGAAACTGTTCCAAAAACCTAATTCGAAAACAACCCCAAAAACTCATCAAGTTGCTGCAGATCCTTTTGGACAGTTGGAAAATTTGATGGATGGGTTTTGGAAATGGTATCCCAGCGCGGTTTCCAGGGATTGTGCGGGTGTTTTCCGGCGGTCGTCTCCGCAGGAGGGCTCTTTGCGACGCACCGCCAGCACCCTGTGGGGAGCACGCCCTGCCGCTGGACCCGCTGGAACTCCGACGGCCAGCGTCCAGGTCGCCCGCAGCCCCCCAGGCCCTTCGAGACTTCACCCAGACACCAACGGGTCTTCCGAGCACCTCCGAGCAGTCCCCACGTGGCCGCCAAGATTCGGTGAGCCCGCCAGAGCCTCCAGGGACGCCCCAGACCTCCCAGCGTCCCACGGCGCCGGCCCGGAGCCTGGGCGAACCCCCTTCGGGCCCCCGGAAGCGCCCCGCGACCCCGTGGGGTCACCCGCAACCGCCACCACATCGTTGAGCCAACACGAGCGGCACGAGACCAACGCATTTTCTTGCGCCGCGAGGGCATCCTGGGAACCCCGCGGGCCCGTCCATCAAGCAGTGGCGAAGCGTCCTGTCTCGCCTATACCCCTACCAAATAATGTTCTAAGAACCTTTTGTGGTTTCCACGAAATGTTCTTAGAACATTTTCAGTTGGGATTGTCTTGTTCTAACACATCGGGTTAATGTTCTAAGAACATTGCTTTTTGGTCTGGGGGCATTTTTGGGTTCTAGGAACATTTCGTGGTATGACTAGGAATGCAGGGACGGTCGGCCCCTGCTCAAGTCCACCTTGGCGGCCGAGCGTGGTTTGTGGCTGTTTCCGAGGCGCGGCCATGAAGAGCCTCCAGGAGGCCTCCGAGAAACCCACTTATGTGGCCGCGGAGCTCCACGGAGGCTTCCACACGTCGGCGCCGCCGCCGACGTCGTCTCGCCGCCTCCGCCGTCGCCGTCGCTGTGGGCCCGGGGGTCCCTGGAGGTCCTCGGAGGCTGCCCGTTCGCTTCGGAAAGAGTGGGGGTCGTTTTCATCCTGTGCTCCAGGGCGCGAAATGAACGCCGGTCACTTGGGCACCGCGCGCTGCGCCCCCTCGGAGGTTGCGAAAGACGGTAGGGCCTGCATCCGTCATTACGGCTATTTCCGAGGGCTCCACGAGTGACCCGACCTCCTCGGCCCAGTCTGTGGCCGCGCCGTCGCTGCAAAGCACGCGGCGGGAGAAACAGTTCATTCTGGCGCACCACGATGCAGACGGCCACGTCGTCGGCGCATGTCCACGCGTTGAGGGTAATGGTGCGCTGCGTCCTCGCGGCCGTGCAGAACTCTGACGCCGTCCATGCTCGCGCCTGTCCGCGGTTGGCATCGCACGCGACCCCGAGGCGTTCAAGCGTTCAGCGCGCTCCACGGATGGATCAGTAGAAACGGTCCACGACAGCCTTGGCCACATGATCTCGAACGTCCCATAGTTCGAACAGCGCACCATCCGTAACGCGTTCCCCCACATGCGCGGCCGCGTCGAAGCCGCGTCGGCCCGAGGAGCGGCGAGACGCCATATCGAGCTTTGCGCTCCGTGTCGTCGGCGACGCGCCGTTGCCGATGCGCGGCGGAGTTGGGTCGCGGTCGTCTCGGCGAGGGGAAATCCTGCGCAGGCCGCTCCGCGTTGTGGGCAGCGGGCTGCATCGCTGGCAGATGTTCAGCGTTACTTTCGCTGCTGGCACACGCTCAGCTGCTTCTTGGCCGGCGCAGTGCTGCGCCGTTAATTGTCTGCTTCCCGCGCGCTGTGTCCCAGCCTCGTTCTTACCGCCCTCTGGACTTTTCCTTGCGGGCCGCGAATCAAAAAAAGTTGTGGGCAGCGGGCTGCTCGACCCTGCGCCGGAGCAACCATGTCACGAGAGTGTTCTGCGCGTTGGTCAGTAATGGTAGATCCGCCTCGGCCGGGCGAGCTTGCAGGGGGGAGAGCTTCAGATGTCGACTACACGTATCAGAGTGACCTTTCGCCGGAGTGACCTTGGGTGCGGGCTCATCGGGCTCCCCCCGACCGCCGATCGCGATGCGATACAAGCGGCCCGCGCCCTTGGGTTTGGCTCCCTCGCGCCCCCCAAAAAAGCTGCGCACCAAAGGTCACTCTTGCCCAGGGTCACTCTTACGCCTAGTTGAAAATGAAAGGGCGCCTCCTTGGAGCACCCCTGGACGGCCGCGTCTCCCTCGCTCCCCGCCCGCAGGGGGCTGGCGGATGATCCGGTGGCGTCGGAGGCCCAGGACGCAGGAAGCCTGGAGTGTGCGATTGCCGAGAGTTCGCCGCGGGCTCTCTGGAGTCGTCTTGAGCCGTTTTGAACCGGTTAGGCCAGGTGTGCATTCCCATTCGCGCTCGGTTGATTTAATCGCTTCGCTCATTCCGCCAGCCCTGGAGCGCTATTTGGGGCCTCTTGGGGCCGTCTTGGGGGCTTTTTGGTTTTTTTTTTGGAGCGTCTTGGGGCTCCTTGGCGGCGTATTGGGCTCCCCTGGGGCCTCTTGGGGGGCTCTTGGGGGCTTGGCCAGGTGTGCACTCCCACTCACGTTCGGCTTATGAAGAGGTGGGTTCGGGTTCCTCTGGTGCGCTGTGCCGGGCCGCTGGGCCAGGCCGAGCGTGCGCAAGTCTGTTCAGCACGATGGCGTTTCCCCGCCTCCTCCCTCCTTTTCCCTGGTCCTTCCTCCTCCTCGCCCGCCATCCTCCACCGTGTCTTGTTCCGCCTTTTTTCTCTCCTCCCACTGACACCCTCCCATATGGTATCTCGCG